ACACCACCACACATTTTATTCTTTCTCTCTCCGTTCCTTCCACTCTAGTTTCGTTATACGTTTCCTCTGTGGTTGCGGCTAAGCCCGATCTAACGCATCAAAAGGAATTGATAGAGTTATTTCCTACAACCCTCCCCTCTAAAACCCCGTCGAAGCTTTGTCCTTCTTCAGCCAAAAATAGACGAAGAGACTCTTAGGGTACGTACTTGTTTTTTCTTTAGTGATTATTTTGTTTGTAATGAAAATAATCTGATTTCATCCAAAAAAATTCATAGATGGGTGATCAGATATACGACCCTCGATTGTATATTGATCCTAGGCCAAGGGATAGGAGGTATTTATCCGAGCAAGAAAGTCATCGCTCCTGTGCAATTTGGAACAATAAACCGGTAAACACTCCGTACCTATATTTGTAAATTATTTATTAATGCTTATTTTTATTTAATTTAGATTTATTTCTTGCTTCACTTTATTTAATTAATATTTATTTAATGGTTAGTTTTATTTAATTTAGATTTTTTCATGCTTTGCTTTATTTACTGTAGATTTGTTTAATGCTTAGTTTATTTAATTTAGATTTATGTCATGCTTTGCATTATTTAATTTATTATTTTGGTTTTCTTTGACTAACAACTTTTGTGGTTGGGTTTTTTTTAGGAATCACTACTTCCCGTCATTTATAAAGGGACAACACGCTTACCCGCTTGGCATGTTATTCCTGAACATGCTTTTAAAGTCTGGTTAGATAAATCATGTTATGAAACATACTAAAAAATTGTGACAAGGTTCTTGTTCATTGTTTAAAAAAAAATATGAAAGTGACAAATGCATTTAGTACAAATTTGAGAATGACACTTGCACTATGAATGACATGTTGATCTTTGATGCAAAGACTCATTATTAAAGCCCATGTTGCGTGAGAATTTTTACGTGAAGGATCTGGATAAAGCAAGTGTTATGCTTATAAGTTATAAGATCTAAATGGCTAGGACATTGAGAGCCTGCAAGAAACAACTGATAAACATGAGACCCGATGTAGTGGGGTACTTGGCAGGTTTACAGATTGTCCTAGTATGGAGCATTGAAATGCTATTGGAAGGGGTTATGAGACACCTTGAGAGAACATAAAATCTTGGTATATATCTGTTATCAAATGTTTTGTTGTATTGGTAGGGTATAGTGATGCAGACACGAATACCCTATAGGGGACTCCAAAGGCAGCCAGTGGGTATGTTTTAAACATCGCTGGAAGAAGGGTGTATTGGAAGTCTCACTCAATCAACTATGGAATAAAAAATGGTAGAATTAGCAATGGCTAGTAAATAAGAAAGTTGATTAAGAGGGTCATTACCAGAGATTCCCTTATTGGAAAGACCGATCTCTCCGGTATTTGATCCATTGTGATAGCACCGCAACTATTGCTAAAGTAGGGACCGATTCTAGAAATAAAAGAGATGACAAATTCGGCGTAAGCAAAGTACTGTAAGCAAACTCCAAACAATTGGAGCATGTAGGCAGTGGATGATGTAAGAACCAGAAAGAATCTAGCTTATCCTTTGATGAAAGGATTACCTAGAGAGAAAGTCCAAAATATCACGAAGGGTATGCGACTTATGTCTACAAAACCTGGATTACAAGTGATGGTAACTCGACATGATAGACTAGAGATTCCAAGAAACGAGTACAATGAGTAATAACAAGCTAGGAGTAATATTGAGAAAAGTTCATGCATAGTGAAACATGAATCTCAAAGCCTTAGATGTTGAGTTAATAGTAACTCTTAGTGAGAACTATACTCCAAGTGCAGTGAAGTACTTTACTTTGGGGTTACTTCTGATAGACTCACCTTCTGAATGTTGGAGTGGGCAGCTCCCTATGGAACTTTGGAGGCACAAAGTTGCTAGAGCGTTCACTAAACCGGGATAACGTGGAGGGCCATAAAAGCACGGGCTAAGAGAGAATACCACTCAATGAAAATATCTGGTGTGCTACACTGTCTGAGATAGGGTTCAAGACTTAAATAGTTTTCAAATCTTCGCGATTCTTTAGCTTATACCTGATCTTATGCATCTATTGATTCTCATAGATAGTTTGAAAACTATTCAAGTGGGGCATTGTTGGTGTGAATAGCTTTCAAAACTATAATAAAGGATAACTATTAAACAAAATAATTGTCCTACTAGAATACGTTTTAATTATCGGAGTAATTATCTTCATAATTAAATCTGACTTATTCCCAAAAAAGAAGGAATATAGGATTTTTGCTACTATAAATAGAGCACTCCCCAGACCCTCTAAACACACAATATAAGAGCAGAAACACGAGTGAGAGTTAGATTTAGAGAGCTCTGGTTTTTACAAAAAACCGCAAAGCACTAAAAAATGACTGTTTTATCTTGGAGGCGACCGGTTGATAGTCTGTCGTGCGCAACGGTAGTAGTGTCGCGAACGTTTTAAAGAGAGCGACCTAGTACACGACTCAACCAGATCGGTAATCCTATTTTTTTCTGTTCGATTTCTAACATTTCCTAATAGTGTTTTTTATTGCACCCAACTTGCAATCTTGACTTTGTAAGTAGGCTTTTCCAATCGTCCATATGTTAAATGAAATATCGTTCACATCCCAGTTACTCAAACAATATTTTTTTAAATATTGTCAAAGAAGATGACCCTTCGAAATTTTAGTACGGAGCTGACATGGGAGCATTGTGTGCCTTTCTCGAGCAAGTTTGCTTTCTTTTCGAGGGAGCAAATATTCACAATCAAGCAAATTTTCATCCCCAACTTTTAGCAATTGATAAAGTGAGGTAGAACTTATATGACAAATTTTTTTTAGCAAATTGGTAGGAGTGTAGGAATACTTGCTACATTAGCAAGGTAGCTAAATTAGAAAGTCATCTAGTATCATATGTATAATTGTTTTCTTTTTCGTTTTTATAACATTTCAATTGCAAAGTGTATGGGTAGATTTAAAATAGTTGATGAGAAACACATTAGAAATTGTTAACACAATTTAGGATGTTGATGACCAAAAGCTTCATTGCTAAAATTGATGATGTTGATGACCAAAAGCTTCATTGCTAAAATTGATGATGTTGATGAAGGGGTCACATTTAGAAATTGCTAATCAATTTTAAGGATGTGATTCAAGGGTGGAGAAGCTAATCGTTGACTTCCGGATATGTGACTGGAAACTTGTGATTTTATAATGATCTAACACTAAAAATGTCAATCTGAGTGGATGGGATAATGATATATATATACATGCATTGTGAGTTCATTGAATCACCATGCGACTTTCGACCAAGAGGGCGGCCGGTGTCATCATTTGTCATCTGTTCCATAACAGTAGGGTGAAAATGTGAAGGATGGTGGAATTATTTTGAGGAAGGTGATGTTGGGCATAATTATTTGGTATATGTCTTAGTGTATCTTTGCTCGTATTTTTTTTTTTTTTAAATTTACTTACCTCTTAGTAACATTAACCCTTCGTTCTTGCAGAACAACGGAGGGCTTGGGTGAATTTTAGTCTCAAATTAACCTATATATTAACTATAGTTGACATAATTCCGACCCGTTATTCAAATTGACCCATACCCTTATTAACTAGTTGGTATAATCCCAACCCGCAATTCAAATTGACTCACAAACTTCTTAATGAGTTGATGTATTCGCCCACATTCTTCTTTGGGCTTGGTGGGTGGTGGGTGAATGTAGTTCGGTTGTGGGTTGGCGCGCCAAAGCAATTCTTCAACTTACCATTAGTCAAGTTGACTAATATTTATAATAAATTTATCGCAAATTAAAAAGACACGTGCAATTCAGACACTTTTCATTTTGTCTCTTATTGATTGTCTAGTACTTATGGCATACAAATTTTTTTGTTACTCATACCAACTTTCAGTTAACCATTTTAAATCTAGGTTTGATTTGGTTTGCTTAAATTCGATTGTCACAACAAACTGCCAACCAACTCAACACCATCGTTTCTCAAGTCATCAAACAATATTAGCAGAGTCGAACGAGAAATTTATTGGAAAAAATACATTATCTTAAATTTGAATGAGAAAAGTATACATTTAAACCAAAGTCCAAATGAGAAATGAGGAGTCACTATGTGTCACTATTGAGATAAGACCCTCATGGTTTGACTTTGCAAAACAGCTAATTAAGCTTGTAATATGCACATAAAAAACACACACAGTAACCAGCATCATAAGCATTGACCAACCAACTCTTACCCCTACAACACTAACCATGGTTAACATCCCAACCCTTGCTCCTTCCTAGGGATGACAACATAATCCGAACCCACGGGTACCGACTCGACTCAACACGGTCAACGCGGGTAAAATCCGCTACACTATTTACCGGGTTGGGTTGGGTTTGGGTTTAGGTAAACCTGCCCCATGGGTACCCTCCCACACCCATATAATTAATTTTTTCGGGTTATTTAATATTCTAAACAATATATTTTTCTTAAACAACTAATCTTCTTTTTTGGAGACATGTCTAATTTATTATTACTAATTGTGTACAATGAAGTTGATATTATGGAGTGGAGAGTGAAGATGTTTAGTTGACAAAGAAGGAGCTTTCAATTAATCATTTTGTTTATAGATGTTTATCTTTAATTTTGAACTATTTGTATTGATAATTTGCGGTTTGCTTGTATGCTCTAGATTAGTGTTTTTCGTATGGATAATCTTATTGAGAAAATTGATGTTAGACATTTATTTTGAAAGAAATTTGTTATTATAAATTTTTTACCACAAAAATCCACGAGTATCCATGAACCCGCGGATACCCAGCGAATTGGATTGGATTTGAGTATTTCAAACCCAACGAATTTTATCCCAAATTTTTTATGGATAAATCCATATATTTGTGTTTGACAAAACCGGCCACCATTGCACTCCCTACCGTCCCGCCCTCCCCTGTATAACTCCTCTCCCTGAAGACGCCATTTCGGAATCAACACCCATCCCTCCTTCCAATTTCCCGCCTTCCTTCCTTTCCGCCATTGGAGGCGCCATATATATCTTGTATCTTGTCAGAAAGCCACCGACCACCTACCCACCAAATTCCTCTTTGTAATTTTCGTTTGACCCTTCTTCTTCTTCATCTTCTTCTTCATCTTCTTTAACTCTTTACTGCACGAATCATCGTCACTCCTCTCGAGGAAAAAAAAGGAAAAAAATCATCACTCCTCTCGAGAAAGGAAGTTGTTTCAAATTTTATTAATTGATTCCCCATTTCTGCGTCATACACTTATCCTCCAAATTCAATTCTTCCCCCCTCTCTCTCTATATATACTCAAATTTCTCATCCTTATCTCTCGCCTCATCCCAAATGCAACACATCTTTCTTCAGCTAGGGAATTTTGTTCATTAGTATTAATATCTGTTAGCTTCGGCCCTCCCCTGTTTTTTTGTGATCGAAAACAGAGAGAGAGATGGCATCCGGCGGGGCGAATGGGGAATTCAGCTTCTCGTCATCGACGACGGCGGCAGCAAACCGCGCCGGTTCCGGGCGCAACGGGCTTCCGAAGATCCAGACGCAAGACAGCGCGAAGAAGCTGAGCGACGCGGCGGCCAGGGGAGCAGCGGCGGGAGCAGAGGATCTGTGCTACGACGACAGCGCGACCCCGGTGAAAGCGCAGACGCTGGACGAGCTCCACTCGCTTCAGAAGAAGAGATCCACCCCGTCCACTCCCATCACCGCCCCTGCCGCCGCTGGCAACCAGGGCGCCTTCTTCACCGCCATGTCGGAGGAGGAGCGGCAGCGGCAGCAGCTCCAGTCCATCAGGTCCCAACTCCCAAGTGTGATTAAACATTTTTAATTCATTAATTAATTAGCGAATTGGTGGATTATGAAAAAAAGAGACAATTAAATTAATTAACTAATAAAAAAAATGAGAATTGCAGTGCGTCGCTGGCGTCGCTGACCCGGGAGACGGGGCCGAAGGTGGTGAAGGGGGATCCGGCGAGGAGGAGCACGGCGCCGAAGGTGGGACACGTGGAGCACTACGCGCCGTCGATCAGCGTGACGGATAGCTCCCTGAAATTCACCCACGTCCTCTACAATCTCTCCCCTGCCGGCACGTGGCCTTTTTTATTGGAACTTGGGGATTGGCGTTTTTTCTTGTGCAGTTCTCCGCGTTCATTTATTAATTAAGGAAATGTTATTATAAAAAAAAAAATTGCAGAGCTGTACGAGCAAGCGATAAAGTACGAGAAGGGTTCGTTCATAACGTCGACGGGAGCACTGGCGACGCTGTCCGGTGCGAAGACGGGGAGGTCGCCGAGGGACAAGCGCGTCGTGAGGGACGATACGACGGAGGGTGATCTTTGGTGGGGAAAGTGAGTACCGTACCCCAGCCATTAAAAATAATGATCTTACGGTTTAAAGAATAGATAGTGGATGGGTAAAATGAATGTGGGATTGCAAAATGCAGGGGTTCGCCGAACATCGAGATGGATGAGCATACGTTCATGGTGAACAGGGAGAGAGCTGTGGATTACTTGAACTCTCTGGACAAGGTAACCTTCCTTCCTTCCCCTCTTACTTACAAGGAAACATGGAATAGGGAGTAGGTAGGGGCGTAAAATCTGGCATAATTCGAGCGGCTATACGGTCCAGTTCGATTTTTTCAAGGATATAAGAATAAAAGATGGGATTGGATACGGTTCGGTTTTGACACGGTTCGGTCCCAATTCGATTTTGATTTTAGATTGAGCATGTGGAGGGTTTTGAGTGGGCTGAGGCCTGCTGTAATGGTGATGAGTTGGTTAGGTGTTGGGTGTTGAGAGATCTCTTATCCAGTTTCCGGTCTGATCCGGCCTCAAACGAGTTTTTTAACTCAAATCTAAACCCGAAGATGAGATTTAATTGTTTGCTATTCGGGTCACGGTCCGAATTATAAGATCCGGTTTCAGGTAAGCCGAAAAATCTGGACCAGTCATCCCTAATTCCTGTAACCATAACTGCCCCAACAAATTTTTTTTTTTTTTTTGACAGAATAACTGCCCCAACATTTATCATACGATATTACTGTAATTTCTTTTGGAAAAAGAAAGAAAGAAAAATGTGAATGGGATTTATTGCCTCAGCTTTGGGTTACCCTATTTCACGGACTGATGGGCTGTTTGGGGCTAAATATTTTATTCCAACTAATTGGTTGGAGATATTGAATCGATGGGATCTTTATTCGTTAAAAAGTGCTTGTTATATTGTGAAAAGATTATAAGTATGTTATTGGACAAATATTAGGAGAGCTTATATTCTTCAAATAATAACTTTCTCAATTATGTCCTACTTTTTAATATTTCAAATTACCCTCTATTTTTATGCTCTTTTTGACCTAATTGGTTTTTTCTTTTCTTTATGCGATTTTTTTCCCCACAACTTTTCCCATAAGCATAATAATTTGTTTGTCCCTCTTACTTTAATTATGTCTAATACTAATGAAGATTCAATATGTCTGAACCAACATAGTGGGCAAAAATTTGTTTCATATATGTATAATACACATATACTATTAAATGCATTTTAAACTTAGGTACATGTTTTTCGTCAAAAAAAATTTTAGGTTCCTATATTATTGCTCAACCATCTATTTATTTTTGTTTGTTTTAACCATCTCCTGTTGAAAATGTTTAATACACGTATTTTAAGAAATTAGTTAGATAAATATTTAATTTTAAATTTATAATATTTCAAAAATGATGTGAATCTTCTCAACATACTATTATGTTAAAACAATATATAAAGCTTCGTACTCTATTGATATGATAACATATTGGTATCGTGTTTTACAAACTAAAATGAAAATTACAAGCATTTTAATCCAACATCTCTCGATGGAAAAGCGAGAAAGATTGGATTAAGATAGGAAAATTGGCAAGATAACAAATTTATGTGCTAATAATCAAATATCACATTAATAACACCAATACTTATATCCATTAAAATGTGATATTTCGTACAAATGCTACATGACAGGTTTAACAAATATTTAATCCAAACCACATATTAGTTTCTTTTTCTCCACCCAGGCACCCACAGACCTTCTTCCCTAATCTTAATCTTAATCTTAAGTGACCCAATATAATTATTAGTCTGAAGTTAACATTTCCTGCGATCCACCCAGAGAGAAGATGATCTTCCTCTTTACTTGTTTCCTGAAGTTAACATTACCTAGTTCGGTCGCTGTCTTCGTCTTGTTCATTCACGCTGATGAGATCACCCATCTCAATCCAGATCCACATGCGTGCCTAGGTAGGCCGCTAGCAGACAAAACTAGACCCATTTAAATCAAATACATATTGAATCGATTGATCAAACATGAAACTAACAAATGACATAACGCTATGATGTATGTAGACTATAATATTACCATATTTGTTTTCATCATTCATTTTCGGTGATTACACGCGAAAGAAGTTGGTTTCTGTCTTTTCGTTCCATTACGGGATAAATTCATCAAAAACGATAAATCCCGAGTCTCATAAGCACCAAGTGAGTCCTTATTGGTTTCTTCTTTTTCATTCCTTGATGTGAGTGGGACGATTGTTGTGATTAGGGATGGCAATTATCCACATGTGGATAATTTTACTCAAATTCAAGTAGACGACTCATTGATTATATGGGTAGGGTATGAGTGAACTAGATATGAGTTTGGGGTTTTGTAGATGAGTTGGTACTTGGTAGAGTATGAATATTGTTTTCATACTCTAAATGGACATGGCTTGAGCATGGATACCCATTTACTTGAGGTAGTTAGTTTTAACTACATATACAAACATTTGACCGATTTGTAAACTTAAAAAATTTAGGTATCAAAATGTAATTATCAGAAACTTAGGTACTAAAATGTAAATTTTCATCAATATTTTGAGGATATATATAAAACAAATTATAGGTACTAAATCTAAATATCTATTAGGTTTGTACCAAACTGTAATGTGCATAAAGGAATGGATTAAAAACCTAAATTCATGGAATTAAAAACCAACTCAATTCAAATAAATGAGTTTGAGTATAAACCCATCAAACTCTACTCATTTACTATGTATTTGGATTTTCAATTCAACCCGATTGATGGATAGTAAAATATTTATGGCTATGGATTGTCTTCTACCTGTACCAGGTGTTTGTGAACGATCAATTCCTCAACTGGGATCCAGAACACAGGATCAAAGTCAGAATCGTTTCTGCCAGAGCTTACCATTCCCTCTTCATGCACAACATGTAAGTTTAACCCCCTTCAAACAACTCAACTACACACAATCACATTCGTTTCTCAACATTCATGGTTGTTCTATGTACAACGACGACTTTGTTGCAGGTGCATTCGGGCCACTCCTGAGGAGCTGGAGAACTTTGGAACTCCGGACTTCACCATATACAACGCGGGCCAGTTCCCCTGCAACCGTTACACTCACTACATGACCTCTTCCACCAGCATAGACTTGAACTTGGGGAGGAGGGAGATGGTGATTTTGGGCACCCAATATGCCGGGGAGATGAAGAAAGGGCTCTTCGGCGTCATGCACTATCTCATGCCCTTGCGTGGGATCCTGTCCCTTCACTCTGGCTGCAACATGGGCAAAGATGGAGATGTTGCCCTCTTCTTCGGCTTATCAGGCATGCTTCCAATAATCAAGAGAGTAGCATTGTTTGTTTTTGTGCCTTACCCTTTGTTTCTCAGAGTGCTAGCTAGATTCCCATTTTGCCTGCTATGTACAGGGACTGGAAAGACTACCCTTTCGACGGATCATAACAGGTACTTGATTGGAGATGATGAGCATTGCTGGAGTGATAATGGCGTGTCCAACATCGAGGGTGGTTGCTATGCTAAATGCATTGATCTTTCTGCGGAGAAGGAGCCTGATATCTTCAATGCCATCAAATTCGGAACAGGTAATACTCTTTTCTGTTTCAGGGTTGGATCAATTTTTGGTGAGGAGGCTAAACTCTTTTTCGTTTCTCTTATGGGATAGTGTTGGAGAATGTGGTGTTCGACGAGCATACAAGACAAGTGGACTACTCAGACAAATCAGTCACAGGTAAAACTAGAGGATTCTCACATCACTTGTTCAGACATTAACTAGCATTTTTTTGGGTGCCTTTTTGGGCTGTGATTCTTGTTTGCAGAGAACACAAGGGCAGCTTACCCTATCGAGTACATCCCTAACGCCAAGTTGCCTTGCGTTGGACCTCATCCGAAGAACGTAATCCTTCTGGCTTGCGATGCATTCGGTGTGCTCCCACCTGTGAGCAGGCTCAACCTCGCTCAGACCATGTACCATTTCATCAGTGGCTACACTGCTCTGGTACTACTCCCTCGCTTCAGATCTTTCTTTGTGGTATCTTGTTCTTGTTCGTTTACCAGACCGAATCGGTTAACAAAATGCTAACACCTCCTTTAATGGCTTGTAGGTGGCAGGGACAGAAGATGGAATCAAGGAGCCACAGGCCACCTTTTCAGCCTGCTTTGGAGCAGCCTTCATAATGATGCATCCGACTAGGTATGCAGCAATGCTGGCTGAGAAGATGCAGAAGCATGGAGCTACCGGGTGGCTCGTTAACACCGGCTGGTCTGGTGGAAGGTGACATTTTTTTGCCCTCGACTCTTTGCTCTTTTGGTCTTTTTAGAGATCGACTGTGTTTCTAAGTTTATCATCCTTTCTTCTTCTTTTGGGCAGCTATGGATCTGGGAGCCGTATCAAGCTGAGCTACACTAGGAAGATTATCAATGCAATTCACTCTGGTGAACTTCTGGAGGCAAATTATACCAAGACCGAGATCTTCGGGCTTGAGATCCCATCTTCGATCGAGGGTGTTCCTTCTGAAATCCTTCAACCCGCCAACACTGTGAGTGTTTTGCTTGCTATCTTCTTTTTTGTCCCCCTACTTGTGTATGGCCGCAAACTGAGATGTTGGACATTTTTGGGGTTTGCAGTGGTCGGACAAGAAGGCTTACAATGAGACGCTGCTGAAGTTGGGAGGCCTGTTTAAGAAGAACTTCGAGGTGTTTGCTAATCATAAGATAGGGAAGGATGGGAAGCTCACTGAGCAGATTCTTGCTGCTGGTCCTGTATTCTGATCGAATCAGGTTTCCGAGAAGAAGGAAATAACGAGGACGGACGAGAGTATGAGTTGGAGTTCCGAGTTGATATGGATGTGTTTATTGTGAAACATTGTTTCAATATTTATTTACCGAGTATTTGTTATGAACAAGCTTATTACATGGTGATTCTCGAGTCTTCCCTCCCCTGTATGGTTCTTTTTCCCCTGTGACTGTAATTCATTCATTAGTAAGTAAACGAGGAACACCCTTAATAAATAATAAGAATTAAATTTCTTGTTCGGTAAGGAGTTCTTCAATCAATATAAGATGTACAAGCTGATCATTGATCACTTGATAGTTGTCACAAACAGAAAACAGAAAAGAAGAGGCCAGAGTTAAGAAGTTACATCACACAAATCACAATGGAAGAGTATGGTGCAACAGTTAGGAGCTACAAGAGCCAAAATTTGCAAAGAGAGGCTTGATGACCGGTAATTCAAGCAACCACTGGGGACAAAAGTTCCCATGATGTTATGTGCATTCGATGCATTTCGAAGTTCAAACTGTATAATCCCTTTGTCAGCTCCACAGAAATTGTACATTTGATGTTCAGAACAAACTGAGAACACTTCCTCAATCTTTATTTCTGTAGTTCAAAAGGGCGATGTCTGATGACATAACTTTTACAGCAGCATAATCTACTATGCAAAATTAAGACTCACTTGATGAGGCTGTATCATCTTTGTGCTTGATCATCCCAGAATCCACCAGAATGGGAACTTCAGCTGCCAGCCATGGAGCAAGTCCCAAGCACAGTGCATGTGCAATGCCAAATCGGGGACTGAAATAAGTTGACAAAAAGGCACAAAGATTTTGTTTGCTGTTAATGCAGTGAACCGATCTCTAAAATCTGGTTCTCAGGCTTCCTATCTTACATACTACAAATATCAGGAGAATGTTAAATCTGCAGATTGCTAAACAGAACCGACTAAAAGGCATTCGATCCTATGAGAACTAGTGGACTCAAACTATAGACTAAGCTTTTATATGGAATTCATAGCATTGATCTCTGTATATTCAGAGTATTTATCTTCTTTTGCTCAGGTAAGGTGGCATTTCAAATCAAATCACATCCAGATATTGTGTCATTCAGATCGTCACCGCGTGATAAAAAAGTTGATTCCTTACAATCCAAAACATCACATATATAACAAATCAGTAATTGGCATACTAACAATCAGATGCAATAGAATCAATCAAGTCCCTGGTAAAGAAAAGTCCAATTCATAGTGAAGGAAGCCACTGCAAGCCAGCCTATTCTGTTGATCCAACCCGGAAGAGCTAGCATTGCGACCATTAATTCAATACTAATAGCTCCTAGCCTTTACTTCTATGTTTCCACTATTCTATATTCTGACTGCATTTCCATTTCCATATAAAAGCAACTCATAATTCTGAAAATTGGAATTGATCAAACTCCAGAAGAACAAGAGCTATTGTATTGACTCCTCCATTCAACATTACGAAACCAGAAGCCATAGCAGCATACCTATTCTTCGCCCACAGTGGCTTGAAATGAATAGTCAGACAAATCTTCCCTCCTCGATACATCTGCAGAACACCAATCCACCCACTAATAAGAGAGACCGATTACCCACCACAAATGAAGGGGCAAAAATCAACCTAAATCCAAAAGAACAGAGCTTTCACCTTCTGGGTCTTGCCATCAAGCTGCGGAAGCTCGAGCTCGGGGGCAGTGGAGGGGTAAGTAACCGGGATATCGAACTGAAGATCGAATTCGTACTTGAGAAGGTTATGAACATACCAGCACTTGCCAGTCCACCGTGTCCCCTCGGGATTGGCGGCGGAAATTCGGAACCAATCGTTGTCTTTGGACTTGTTCATCTGGGTGTAGGCGATCAGAGACTTGTATTCCTCCTTCAGCCTCTGCGTCCATGCCGCTCCGTCTCTTGGTCCAGCTTTCGTTGTTAGCAGCGGGATCTGTGTTAGAGTCGATTTCGTATTCGGATCCCACCCCTCCATGATCACGGACTTCCAATTTTTGGCCAACCCTGAACCCTAATTTGACAAATTTTTCGGCGGGAGTAGACGGGGGAGATCAGATTGCGTCAATTGTATAAGTTATCCCATAGAAGTAGGACTCGAAGTTTGGTATCGGTATTTGGGATATACCGAATATCGTATTGAATTTGTCTATATTTGGTATTATCGAATACACATATTATTTTGTGGGATTGAGATTGAATTTCAATTATTATTCGGTATTTTTTTTTATCCAAGATAAGCCCCCAGGGGGACAACACAATTATAAGAAAGACACCAAAAAAGAACGGTAGTCCGTATGCAACCGGACTCCCTATAAAAGAGCCTGTTTTGCCACGAGGTGGGCAGCTCTGTTGAAGCTCCGAGGAGCAAAAAGACACGAGACTGATAGGGAGGAGGGAAAAAGAGAGTGCACTTCCTCTAGAATTGCTCCCGCTCTTGAGTGCGAAGCCTTCTTTGAAGCCACATCCTTGATGACCAGTAGAGAGTCCCCACAAAAAGCAACAGTCAAGAAGTTGTGGGTGAGACACCATTTCATAGCATCACGAATAGCAAGTAATTCTGATATATAGGCATCTGTGATGCCCTGATAGAATTTACCAATTGCAAATATGATTATTCCATCACCTGAAAAGCCGACGAAGCCAGTTGAGCAACCTTCAGGATTTTTTGTTGCTCCGTCAAAACGAACTAGGATACCTTCACTAGGGAAGGAAACATCCGTTCTTCTTGAATGAGGGCCATGGCCTGTGGAAGAGTGGGATATTGACCTTCGGGCTTCTTCGGATCTCTGAACCTTCTGTGCCTCTGCCGTTCTCCATTCCTCCACCTGCGCTAATAGTTGCCTGTATAGAACATGTGACTTGTATAAAACGTATCCATAAGTAGCCTTGCATCGGCCTTTCCATATTCTCCAAAATAAGAAGACAATGAAAGCTACATCATTCTTGGAGATATGGGGCGTGAAAAAGAGGTTGCTCCACGCAAGATCCATCGGACTTGCCCTCATCATATCTCTTATATGGTCAAGGTCAGATAATGTCCACAGTTCTCTGGTAATTCTACAGTCGAAAAAGCAGTGCTTGAAGTCTTCATTTACCTCGCAGCAAACGGGACAAATACTGGATGAAATAATTTTCTTATAATGGAGGGTTCCTTTAACTGGTAAAAATCCACGCACCAATCTCCAAAGAAAGAATTTGAGTTTAGGAGGTATTGGAATATTCCACATGAATTGCCAGAACTTGGTGCTCAAAAATTCTGGAAGGGAGTTCCTGGGTGAAGTTAAACTAGACGAAAGAAGGTGGTACCCCGATTTAACTGTATAATGACCAGACTTGTCATAGTGCCTAATCAATTTATCTTCTTGGGGGGAAGATGGGAGGGGGATGGATAAGATTTTTTCGATCGTGTCAGGATGAAATAAGGTTTTAAGCAAGTCTAGTTTCCACCCCATAGCATTTGAATCCAAAAGGAATGAGACCATACAATGATCTAGTGAGGCGCCAATTAACAACACAGGGCTAGATGGAGGGCCGGTTGGGAGCCAAAGGTCGAGTAAGATGTTTATCTTAGATCCTGATCCTACTTGCCAACGAAGACCTTTACTCAACAGATCTCTACCCTGCAAAATACCTTGCCAAGCCCAAGAGGGGCGAGCCCCCTGACAGGCTAGGAGGAAATGGTCGGTGGAATGGTATCTTGCCTTATACATTCTGGCGAGAATACTATCCGGTTCGCAGATAAGTCTCCAAGCTTGCTTGGCTAGCATTGCTACATTGAACCTATCAAAGTCTCTAAAATCCAGTCCTCCTTCAAATTTGCTGAAACAACATTCAGACCATGATAACCAATGTATACCTTTTTCTTTGTCTTGGCCTGCCCACCAAAAAGTAGAGAGTTGCCCATTCATCCTTCTACACAAGTCAGAAGTGAGTCTAAAGCAGGACATCGCAAAGATAGGAGTTGCTGTCCCAACTGCTTTAATGACTACTTCTTTGGCATCCAAAGACATGTTTTTTGATTTCCAATGGCGAATTCTGGTTGCTAAAGAGTCCTCAATATACCGAAAAGTTTGGATTTTAGATCTATGAACCTGAGATGGAAGTCCAAGGTATCTATCATGTACTCCAATTGATGACACACCAAGTAAACCAGCTAGGCGAGTAGCTTCCGAGTCTAAGACATTTGCACTAAATGTAACAGCTGATTTCTGGAGATTAACTCGTTGCCCACTCACCGCTTCATATTCATGAAGTATTTCTATTAGACGAGCACACTCAGTAGAGGAGGCACGGAGGAATAGGTAGGAATCATCCGCAAAGAATAAGTGGGAGATCAATGGAGCCTCTCTGTGAATACGTAATCCGTGAAGGCTAGAGTTTCTAATAGAATTCTCTATAAGGGATGAGAAAGCTTCTGTGTATAGAGCGAATAAGAGGGGGGAGAGAGGGTCCCCTTGGCGTAAGCCTCTTTGAGGATGGAAGTAACCATGGATAGACCCGTTTAGGACAAGAGAGAATGATACAGTTGTCACACATGATCTTAGCCATTTGAGCCATTTATCTCCAAATCCTAGGCCTTTAAGTAACTCAAACAAGAGAGGCCATTCAACTCTGTCATAAGCCTTTTCCATGTCTAGCTTTAAAGCCATCCATTTTTCCTTGCCTTGTGTTTTAGTTTTGAGAAATTGCATCACCTCTTGTCCGATTAAGATATTGTCTGTGATAGATCTATCTTTCACAAAGCCGTTTTGGTTAGGGCCCACAATGAGAGGAAGGAAACAACTCAGCCTATCTGCTAGAATTTTAGCAATGATCTTGTAGAATACTTGGCAGAGTCCTATAGGTCTCATTTGTTTCATGGTTTCGGCATTTGGAGTCTTGGGTATAAGCGTGATCAACGTATGATTAAAGTTATTCAACAATCTCCCCGTATGAAAGAAGGAGAGGGCAGCCTCACATAGGGATTCCCCAACCACATCCCAAAAGGCTTGAAAGAAAATACCAGTAAACCCATCTATCCCAGGGGATTGATAAGAGCCGATCGAGAAAGTAGCATCTTTTATCTCTTTTCTTGTAACTGTTGCAGAAAGGCAAGAATTAATATAATCATTCACTTTCTTCTGGAGACCCAAGCTCAATATGAAATCATGGACTAAAGGTTGATTAGATAGAAAGAGTCCCATAAAGTATGTAATTGCCACATTGGCTTTAGCTCCTTCCTCCAAATGAACTAAGCCATTATCATCCTTGAGGGAAAGAATTGTGCTCATCCTTCTCTTCTGGTTTGTAATTGTATGAAAAAAATGA